GCTCAGCTCGTGCCATAAAAGCAGGCACAGTGGTCTGAGAGCTAAAGAACTGAGATATGACTTTAAAGTAAACAATCAGAACAGGGTTATTGGCTGAAGGGGGCTTGAAGTGGTTTAGATGCTTATGTTATAGGTGGAGAAATTTGATTAAACTGCAAGTTGATTTGGTTGAAGATTTTTAAATAGAATATTATATGGTAAAAAGTATCTAAAGCTCAAAGATTAGGCTGAAAAGTCTGCGAGAAATTAACTTTATGGCTGATGAGATGAGATGATAATTCCTTACAATGTAAGCTATAGGTTGAAATATGATAGAATATATATAGAATATTTTGTGACATAGAATATACAAGAAAAAGAGCCTTAAGTTTCAGTTCAAAATAATATTGTATTTATTATATTCTACCTATGTCTGTTTGTGTATGTTGCATCTATATTTAACATGTGCCATAAATAAATTCACAACTGCCCATCTCCATGCAACCACTGTGCCGTGCTACACTCAAAATTCCTCAGATCCCGCTACAGTCGGTCCCATCTCTTTCAGACTCCGACTCATCCTGCGACTCTCCGGGCCGTGCAGCCAATTGAGAGTGATTGATTTTGGTTGCCAACTCTTGCATGTGCAGCTGTCCAAATAGCAGAAGAGAAAGAAAACAATGGCCAAAAAACAGAAAAAAAAGGCCAACTTGACCTCCAGTCTGTCCGAGCGGCATATCAATCAAATGTGGCCAATGATATTCAAGATTTTCAAATCATTTTGGCCATTTGGCAATTGCCAGTTTTCGTTAGCGTTTTCGTTTTCATTTGCATGAATTGGCGAAAAGCACGGCGACCCCTATATAAGCTGGCATTATGCTTGGCTAATACTCCTCTAGTTGGCTAAGGAAATTGTCTAACAGAGATTTGCATAGAATTGAAGCGATGCCAATCGCAGAGCTCCCACTGTGCGGTGTTTAATGAGATTTCGTTATTGTTGCGATTGTTGTTGTTGTTAAGTATTTGTTGCTATAGTTTTTGGCCCAGTTTACTTATTATTTAACATTGATCGGACGTCTGTAATTGGCATTTGAATCTGACCCAGTCTTGAACTCGTTTCGCAACGAAATGGAAAGTGCCTGGCCCAAAAGCCAGCCGAACGCATTGCTAGCTTTGGCTAACTTTTAATTCTCTTATCTACAGGTATCTGCCACTCTCTCCCTTGCCCGTTCTACCGATCTGCCCCTCTCGCTCTGTTTCTTTTCTTTTTTCGCTACAATTTTATGAGGTATCTGCTCTTCGGCTATTGTGTATCAGAAATGCAATGCTTTGAAGGCGGCCGCCTTTGTGTCTCACTTGTTTCCATTTTATTTGATTTTTTTTTTTTTTTTTTTGAGAATGTGCGAATGCAAATAAATTTGTGTATTTTGATAGATACGAAACGAATTTTTATGAACCTAGCCGAGCACAGAGTTCACTTTGTTTTTGGTATTGACAAATTGGCTAAGCTGAGTCGTAAAAGAGTTTTGCTGCACTTTATTTACGATTTGCATATATCGACGGCAGTTGCTGACAGCCACGCCCCTCTCTCCACCACCCCCCTATCTGGCCGGCCCGCAACATGTCGTATGAGTAATCTGATTTTTATCTATATTTAATTATTTGCGCACATATGATTGAAGCACAATGGCCAGGGCCATTAATCAGTGCAGCAGCAGCAACTAAACTGAGCTGAACTGGCTGGACGCCAGGTGCCCATATGCTCGATCAGCTCAATTATTCATGCAGCAAGACATGCGCTATCCGTTATACATTATCCATTATTCGATATCTTTGGGCTATTAGCTGGCCAATTCTGTGTAAGAAAATCGTAAACTAATTTCATGTGTTAAATGCCATAAAATATGAAAGTTTGTTCCTCATAATCGACACTTGACTAAGTCGTGGGAATTACCTCTTAGGTAAATCACTGAAAGCGGAAGAAGCAGAGACAGACGCCCCACTCTTCTGGCCCCACGAACGCCTCTTTGCTATCAGCCATGGCGGAGGCAGCGTCGACAGCGTCGTCAGCGTCGACAGCGCTTTGTAGTTTAGCGGCCGTGTGTAAATATTTGACAACACATGCCTAATTAGTGCAGCTATTGATGGTGACAGCGGAACAACAACAACAACAACAACAACAACAACAACAACAACAACAACAACAACAACAACAACAAGCTGCCAAAGAACAAGGCCTGGAAGTGGATATGGAATGAAACGGAACGAGCTCTGAGTGCGAGTGCGAGCTCTTTTACGATGTCGTTTCCTGAGAACTGAGTGCCTCAGTCACCAGCTGACTGACTGACTGGCTGACTGATTGACTGATTGACTAACTGACGCACCTCCTCTAGTTGCTGCTCTTATCTAAAGAGCCATTGAGCGAGGGCTCTTTTGTTGGCTTTGTTGAGCAAGGCAATGCGAAACACTTATCAATGGGTAAGACTGGTAGACAGTGTCTATGTGTGTAGGCAAACGCTATGACAATGTTTTCGAACAGGTCTGCAATCAATCAGGTTAACTATTTGAGTGAATGTACACACACACACACACACATATGTCGATAAGTCGATTCGTTTGAATTGGCAAAAGCGTGTCTCGGCACGCAATTTGCGGCTCGAATGGGTGAATGAGGGGTTCTTCATAAATGAATATAGTAATTGTGAAGTTCTTATGTAAACTTAAGCTCGACTATCGCTAAAGGAAACAAAAAACCTTTTCAATAAAAAAAAAAATTATTAGTAAATAAATTAAAGCAAAGTTATA